GCTGGGAAATAACCTGGCCTTGGGGCACGAGGCCGGGAGCTTGGGAGTTCTACCACGCTGGGTTCTTGGAGAAATGCCAATTACTGACGTGCATGATGCAGTAATGTGATTAGGTAGCAATGGAGCACAACTTGATTGTGTAGCTCACTCTGAAGCCAGTCACCCGGCTAGCCAAGTACCTAGAAGGTGCATCACTGTGTGACGAACCTACTTCAGGACCCTGTCCTGTTAGGGTTCAGCTTCGTGTCGAAGGTAGTCTCTCAAGGGTGCTTAGGTTCGGTGCAGCCAAAGGGTGCACAACAAAGGCTTGTCTCAACAGTAGGCTCTCGTGCTTGTAGCGAACTGTAGTTGTGATTGCTAACTGGAGAACTCCTAGAGCTCTCCAGGATGAGTGTCTATATACTTGTCTGATTCCTGAGTGCTCAGTGTGCTCAGTCCGGATGAGAAGCTCAGTGGGCACTGAGCTCACTGATCTTCTTATTCCTACTAACCGAAGCACTCTCCTCGTATCCTGATTGGCGTGAGGCCTCGGTGCCCAGTGTGCTCAGTCTGTTCAGCCTGGACTTAGCGTACTGAGCTCACTGATCACGGATGGATGGATGGAATTTATTTCGCCCGGAGGCACTGGGCCTATAGGGCCTTAGCACGCTAGCTACATCCGGATCAGATCGTTTTGCGTTTAACTCGTACAAGCCCCCTACTTCTTCCCTCTTTCTCGCTGCACCATTTACCTCTTGCCTTGGTTGTTGTTAGCAGATCAGCTTGGAGGCTACTTTCTCCAAGTGTTCAGCGTCCTATCTTCAGCAGCTAAAGCGGGACCTGCTGGTTAAGGCTCGTGGTTGAGGCTCGTGGTGTTGAGTGTCGGCTTCTTCTACTGTGACTGGTTTAGACTCTCCTCTTCATTCAGCTCCAGCCTTCCTGTTGCCATTGCGTATTTGATCGTCGCCCGGACTGCCTTCATATCTGGTGACCAATGCCTTGTATCTGATGGCGCTTTCCCTCCCAGATAGAACGAGAGGCTTCCTCGTCTTGCCACTGTGCATTGCAGCATGTCTTCCCTCAGAGCTGTCCATCTCACGCATCGGAAAAGAAAGTGTTCCACTGATTCCCTCGCTTGTCCACAGGCACAAAGGTCTGACTCGACCGCCCCAATCCTGCTCAAAAAACCGTTCAGTCTCGCCATTCCGGTTCGGAGCTGCGCCAATACGCAGGCCTCCCTTCGCTTCAGCTTGTCATAGAGATGGCGCGTGTGCTTGCCTGGTAGTGCTGCGTCCATGGCCTTTGAGAACTTGCCCACGCTTACAGGTAGAACTCTTGTCGCCCGTTGTCTTTCCATTGCCAGCCTCATCGCGGTAGACTTGGCCTGGGGTATTTGGGAGTCGGGTGTGCGTCCTTGCTTCGACGCTCTCTGGGCTGCTGCCTTGGCATCTGACCCCAGCGCGAAGTCAATCTCCGCTGGTATCCACAGAAAGTTGACCGAGTTCCCTCTTTGTCGGTGCAGCCTGGCCAAGTCGTAGATTTGCCGTATGATGCTTTGGCCGGATTGCTGCCGCGGCTGTCCAACTGCTGCCAGCGCTGACTGGTTCCTAGTGATCACGGTGATGTGCCTGTGGCAGATGCTAGCCGGTAACTTCTCCAGGGCCATTGCGATGGCTGCTAGCTCTGCTGTATATGGGTTCTGCTCTTCCCTTGTCCCAAGAACAACAGCATAGTTTGTCACAGTCTCGCTAGTTCTGTTGAAGAGAGTATCCCGTGCAAGGCCGCCCATGCCAACAATGCCCTTCTTTACGGATGAGCTGGTTGCGATCACGATTCCCGAAATTTTGTTGACCATCTCGGCCGCCTTCCCTCGATCGGCTTCGAGCGTCGGTCGTAGGCGAGGTACCCAGGGCGGGACGGCGTATTCCTGGATTGTCTCCATCCGGTCAACTCGTACTCCTTCGGCCACACGGGCAATTTTCTGCAGCGGAGATACGAATCGTACGGTGGTCCGGACTTTCTTCATGGCAAGGGGATGCGTTCCGGGCAGCGTGTGGATGTTGATCCACAGACTTGCTGCCGCCTGGGCGTGTCGTTCTCGTACGGGGTAGATGCTCGCTTCAGCTTCCACCACGGCTGTTGCCGCGGTTCGAAAGGCTCCCGTGATGGCCAGGGCCCCGATTTTCTGCGCCCTGTTCAGCCAGCTCAGTGCCTTTTCCCCGCACGCATGCATCCAGACATTGGCAGCGTAGTCCATGACCGGGGCTACTGTCGCAACAAATAGCTGTCTCGCTGTCCGCGGGGAAAGCATCTTCAGCCTCTCCAGGGCCAGAGCGGCTGCGAGGCCCTTAGCTGCCGTCCTAGCAATGTGCTGCTTGTAGCGGAGTTCGCGATCCATCACGACACCTAGGATTTTCGCACTTTCCTTCGGTTTGACCACTTCGCCTTTGACCGAGAACGGTTGTTCTGAAAATCGCTCCATGTTCCTCGTGAAGTGTATGATGGCTGTCTTTTCGCCTTCAAACTGCGCACCGCTCCGTTTCTCCCAGTCAAGGGCTTTGTCGATGATAGCTTGGATTCCAGTGCGGTTCGACTCCGCTGACGGGCCCGTTACCCAGGCAGTGTAGTCGTCCACGAAGGCAATTGCGCCTCCGTTTGCGTCAATCTTGTGCTGCACTAGGTCGGCGTTGAAGAAGAGGAATAACACTGGAGACAGCGGCGATCCTTGCGGAAGACCCGCTTGGGGCAGCTCTTGCCGTCCAGATGTGAACCCGTTTACGGCAATGGTCGCTGTGCGCTTGGAGCAGAAGGCGTCGATCCACTTGACCAGGGATTCAGGTATCCCTCTTGCCTTGAGCCTCTGGAGAAGCCTGTCTTTGAAGACCCCATTGTATGCGCCCTTGACATCGAAGCTGATCAGACTGAGCACTTTCCTAGCTCTCCATGCTTTGTAGATGTGTTCCTGAAGCAGAAGGAGAGCCTGTTCGGTCGAGCGTCTCTTCCTGGCTCCGAAGTGGTTGGCGGGTAGAAGGCCGCACGTCTCCACAGCATGGGATAAACGCTCCGCAATGACTGCCTCCAGTATCTTACCCAGCGTGGAGAGCAGCGAGATGGGTCTCCAGGACTTGGCTAGAGTGTATTCGCTCTTCCCTGGCTTCTTCAATGGGATGATCTTGGCATTCCTCCACTGGCTGGGGATGTCGCCGTCTCGAAGCGACGTCCGGAATAAATGGAGCACCCTGTCTTTGACCACTGGCCAGAGCTGTCTCCATACCATTGCCGGTAGACCGTCTTCCCCGGGCGCCTTTCCATGGCTTAGCGGACAGGACCTTTTGTTCTATCTCCTCCATTGTTAGGTCTGGCATGTGTACCGGCGCCCGTTGAGGTCGTTGGCCCTCGTCTTCGATTCTCGCTGGCAAAGGTGGGAAGAAGGCGGTGAGTAACTCCTGCGCTTGTTCTGCTTTACCCTCCGTGATGGAGCCATCGGGTCGGACGAGCGGGGGTATCTTATCGCCCATCGTGCCGCTGCCGGTTTGCAGATACTTCGTTGCTTGCCAGATGTTAGCGTCATCGGCCAGGAAGTCGTTCCAATGCGAACTCTTCTGTCTGCGGATGGCGTCGTGGTACTCTTTGGCTGCCATCCTGGCTCGTTGTTCGAGCTCTGGTGCTGTTTGCCCAATCCTACGTCGAGATCTCGCCTGGTTTCTCCAAAACGTGTATGTCTGGCGAAGCCGTGTCAGGTCTGTTGTCCACCACCGCTTGGCGTATGGTGAGGGCTTGGCTTTAGGTGTCAGGCCGTAGACCGCCTCGGTTACCGCTGCCATGAGCCTGTCCGTCTGCTGCTGGACATTGCCGTCCCAGGGGATGCGTTCGAGGTTTGCTGCCACCCTAGTCCTAATTTCCGCCCAGGGCGCGTTCTTGAAGAGGAACCTCGTCTCACTGGGACGGTCCTCCACCGTGGTGTCAAAAGCTGTCTCGATTGCTCTGTGGTCTGAGCCATGGTCGCAGGGGTGAATCGTGCATCTGAGTAGTTGGTCTGCTAGTTCTGCAGAGGCCAGTACCAGGTCGATTGTGCTCTCAATGTCGCCTGACTGCCACGTCTTCGTGCCTCTTGGGAGGAGGCTGCAGAGGGAGTGTTCGTCCATGAGGTTGATGATGCGGTCTCCCTCGCCTTGTCTCCGTGGTGAGACATCGTCCCCTCCCCAAAGCTGGTCGTGGCGGTTGAAATCGCCCGCCAGGATGATATCCGTTCTCGTCCCTGTTCCGTTTCGAAACCTCCTAATCAGTCGGTCAATTTCCCTCATTGCATCTTCCAGTGCTTCGTCACTACCACCCTCCACATACACTGACACCATCAGCACTGCCCGATCTGGGAGCCGAATGCGTGCTGCGGTGAGGTCTGCCGACGGCACTGGAATCTGCTCGACCTCTATATCGCTTCGTACCCATAGCATGCTCCGAATTGGCCACGTGGTTTCTCGTCTTGTCGTTGGTATAAGCTTCGTCCAGTTGTGATGACTCATTGGGACCGTCGTCACCGAGCCTTCGATCAGCCTGGCATATGGTTCGGAGATGGCCAGCACTGCGAAGTCCTTGAGTCCCTCGTCGTTTAGCAGACTCTGCTGCACTTCTCTCCGTTTGCGGACGTTGAGCTGAAGGATCTTAAGCGTCTTGGGCCCCATTGTTCAATCAGCGTACCCGACAGTTCTTGCTAAATGACTCGTGTGGTCCTCTGCATAGCACGCACTTCAGGACCACGGACTGACACGTCTTGTGGTGGTGACCCTGTTCCGCACACCTTCCGCATCTTTGCGGCTTTTTGCAGGCGAAGGCCTTATGGCCGATCTCCTGGCATCTGTAGCACTGGATTGGGCCTTCCCGGGGCGCGAAAACGGTCGTGTAAGCGGATTCTCCGGCGAGATGGAAGTAACGCCCGTCTAGAAGTCGCCTTGCTTCGCTGCCCTTCGTCACGTAGACAACCATCGAGCCGTAGGCCTTGCTTGTATCCTTCCTGCTGAGCCAGGCAATCTTCGCAATGTTGACGTCGTTCTCTGTCCCTAGCGCCTCTGCGGCTCCCGGCAGGATGTTTCCGTCCGCATCGAGGACCGCTGTTCGGTTGGCATTGTCTACCCTCACCGGGTACAACTGGTCTCTCAATACCCGCACTCCAGGAACACTGATCTTCACTGCCGCTTCCTTGACGAGCTGGACCTCGCCTTCGTCCCTGCAAATTACTCTGACTCGGTCCGGGTTTCGGGCCTCCTTCACAACCGCAGCGCAACGCCAGTCTCCCATGCTTTCCTGTGCCCTGGCCTCTGTCTCGATTGCCTTTCTAATGTCCGCCACCTGGACGTTTCCCTTCTCTTTCTCCTCCACCCTAGATGTATCGATCGTACAGAACAACGTGTCGGTAAAGGATGAAGGCGTCGTGTTTCGCGAGGAGAGGGTGCGCACACCGCTTGGCCTGGCCTTGATGGTGGGGTGCGGAGCGACTTCGGCGTATGAACCCTCTTGCCGCTTGGTTGGGACGAAAGCCATGGCTACCGGGTGGCGTTGAAAGGGTATCAATCTGATCCCGCGCTTGTCTCAGTTCTTCAGAAAGCTGGGTCCTGAGTGTCTGCAAGTTGGCGATGTAGTTCTTGAATCGCGTCGTGCTGCTTGCAAATCACCTCGCGTAGTTCGCCAATCGTGTTTCGCTGCTCGGTAATCATTCGGTACATTTCGTCTCGTTGTTCGTTGATCGCCTCCAGGAGCATCTGTATACCTGACTTCCCCGTCTCGATCCGGCTGTTGGCTCCATATAAAATCCCAGACGCGCGTGCTCCTCGCGTCGTAACCGCCCGCGTGGTCTCGCTCGCCGCTCTCCTCGACGTGGTAGCCACGTCCTCGAGCGATTGCATGGCTTCGCGAGCTTTCGCGCTCGGTTTCAACGCGCGGCTCGGTCGTCTCGGCGAAGGTGGTTGGTCGGCCACCTCGACCACGATTTGGGGCTGCGCCTCCGCCGCCATCTTGCAGTCCCTCGGCAGTGCCGCCCGACTTTCACAAAAGCTTCCTGGTCTCGATCGCCTCTCGCCGATGAACCTCTCCCTTATTTTTCGAATGCTCGTTCCGGTGGTGGTCTTGGTGGTCGGAAGGATTGGTCTGACTTCTGTAAGTGGGTCCCAATAAGTGGACCAGAACATGAAATAGAGAGCTTGGCTGTCATCTCGGAGCCATCCCACAATCATCGAATGGCGGTAAACGTCAATCGGAGGGTTTGATGACCGCTTAATCAGACATGTCCCTCACCGTTTTCCACCCCTTTTCACGCCTCCCGGCGGAATTACGTTGGCAAATATACCTCTTGGCAACGCAGCCCCGTTTTGTGCACCTGCGAGTTGAGTCCCTCGTTGAGCGGAACGAACATGAAGAGGACGAAGCGGGACGAAGAAGATGATGACCTCACCGACTTCGAACTCTTCGCCGCCCACCTGGCCCCCTGGAACCTGATTCTCGGATCCCTCTCTCACTTACTTTGCCCACGACTGGGCGCAACCGCATCCGACTTCGAGACGACACCCCCCGCTCAGCATGGTGCTTCCAACCCCGCAACCCAGACCCGCGCAACCCAGACGCTGCTCACCGCGTACGGCTTCAGCACCACCAAGCCGCGGCCCCAGCCCTGGCCGCCAACCCAACAACACCCCGAAATCCCGCCCCACCTGCTCTACACCCAGCCCAAAGCCGCCTGGCAAATGACGCGGCCGCTCGCGCTGTACAGCGCCGCGCCCATCCCACCCCTCCTGCACACGTGCGCCGAGTCCCGGCAGGTGCTGATGCGGCACGGCTACGAGCTGGCCTTCCGGACGCGCAGCGCGGGGCCCCGCACGTGGTTCTGCTTCCGCGACGACACGCTGTACCTGCCGCAGCTGGCCCGCGACTGGGACGACGGGGAGTGGTATGACAATACCGGCGAGGACGGCGAAAACCCCGGCCCCTGCGACCTGCACCCCGACGACCTGGTCCGCGTGCGCCGCCTCGCCTTGGAGGCCGTCTACGTCGGGGGGTACCGCTCCGACACGTCGCGCACGCTCCGCCTGTGCCCTAACGTGCGCGAGTTGTTTGCGGTGCAGGGGCGGGTGTCTCGGGAGGAGCGCAAAGAGCTCTTGTACGGGTGCAGTGCGGCTGCGCGGGAGGAGATTGAAAGGGCGGAGAACGGTGGCAACGACGATGAGCTGTGGGAATGGATCGAGTGTGATGAAGCCGATGCCGCGCCGCGCGCCTGGTGGGGGCCGGACCGGAAACAGATGACCTGTGGCGTTGGGCTGTATTGTACCGGCGAGGACGGCGAGAGTCTCTTGCGATGGAAGAGGGCGCACGGCGGCGACTCGACTGGCTACTTTGAGGGGTATGTCACGTACGTGGAGGCTAGGTTGAGACAGGAGCTCGAAGAAGTCCTCCAGGCGGAAAGGGGCGAAGTCAAGCCCTGGAATATACCGAGCGTTAAGCTAGTGATTGTTGGAACACGGGTCTCCATCAAGGCGGTGTACAAGGCCCGGGAACGGTACTGGTTGGCGCTCCAAGAAGAAGAGGAACAAGAACAAGAGCGTGGAGTCTCACCGTCGAATTGGGTAGGAAACGAGAATTACGGCCCATATTAGTTAGCGCTGGTCTTTAATACAGGGACAAGAAAGAAGCTACCTAGCGAGGCAGGTATGTAGGGAGGTACTTTACCCCTGTAGGTAAGATACCTGGTGAAATCGGAGTTCATTACTGTTTACCCCGAGTGCCGGCCCAACGCAATCTGAACCATCTGTGTTGACACCTTGGAGATTAATCTGTTGTCTTCTCTGAGTCATTCCTGTTGAAGACATGGTAATCAACCTCTAGGCAGCCGCCCCACAATTCCCACCCGGTTCGTTGGGAACATAAACGGCGACATCATGGCGCCCAAAACTCTCTGGGTCCAGGCACACCTAACATCCAACACTCCCCTTTTTCAGGACTTCCCCCATTCCAACCTTCCCTCCACTCGCCGCCATGGGATTCTCACCCCGCCAAACCCGCCTCCAAAGACGGCAATTCCTCCTCACACAAACCCCAACACCCATCGAACCCAGCCCCGCAACCAAACCACCACCACCACAAGAAACAGTCAACAACAACACCCCCCCTCCAACTGCACCTCCCCCCATCACCCCCCTCCCCACGCGCCTCACCCGGCACCCACACCAACCTCTCCCCTCAAAGACCACGCCCTCCTCCTCACCAAAACAAACCCGCCTCCCGCCTCCAACCCCCAACAACCCCCCCCCACAACCCTCCCCGCAACCCTCATCTTCGCCCACTTCCAAGCCGGCACCGCCGTCTGCATCCACCCCTCCGGCCTGCTTCTCACCTGCGCGCACTGTGTCGCCGAGACCGAGGCCGAGCTCGACTTGGCACAGTCCCACGTCCTGCTGTTTGTGTTGTCGGGGGCGGTTGTGATCGCGCGGTGTGTGGCGTGGGATGGAAAGAGGGATTTGGCGCTGTTGAGGGTTGAGGGCGCGCAGGGGGGGGCGGGGTTGGAGGGTGGGCAGGATGGGCGGTTCCCGGCCATTGAAGTAGGGGATCGGCCGCCCGCGCTCGGTGCGAGGCTGGTGTGTACAGGGCAGCCGGGGAGTGAGGATTTGGAGTGTGAGGAGGCGGGGTTGGAGACGGGGTATGAGGTGGTGTGTGTGAGTGAGGGCCGGTTTCGCGGGTATGCAGAGGGGCAGGATGTGCAGGATAATGAGGAGATTGGGGCGCTGATGCATACGTGTTGGACGTATTGGGGTCATAGCGGCGCGCCTTTGGTGGAAATTGGGAAGACGGCGCGGATGGGGGGAATGTTGGTCGGTTTGCATAGTTCGTGGGATGAGGAGACGGGGATGAGGAGGGGGGTGGGGGTTGAGGCGATTCGAGAGTTTTTGAAAGGGAGGGTGCCTGGCCTGGAGTGAGGCTATACTAGGATCTGGAAGCGTGTTATATTATGTCCAGGGCATACCGTAAGGTTCCCGCCCACTGCCTTGGTGAAACTCCCATTAGTTAACCGAAAGGTAATACTTGAGGTGTTTGCAAATCAGCATTCGTCTCTTTGCTAATATGCCTCCAGGTATCTTCCCGGGGACAACATACGCTCCGATAACGAGTCGGGATGCACAATAGGTACCTATTTGTTGAGAACTTGAGGGTGGTGTGTAATACGCAATACAACACAGAGTAAAGAAGTGCTACTGCTCTCGAGGCCTACATGTGCTTTCTCACTCAGGTTGCGGTTGGTACCGGCCCCGTTTCTTTCACAAGCTGCACCATATCTACAATCCTTTGGCAACGTAAGGATAGTGAAAGTGTAGTTACGAAAGAAGCGGGAGGTCCCTAGTATCTATCTAAACCTTTGAGCAAGGATGCACTTTAGCCCCTTGGAATCAAGAAGGAACAGGCTTTGTTCCGACGGAACTACGAGTCATATCTTCCCCAACAGTTTGCAGGAGACTCCATCCCCTTCTCCTTGTGTTCGCATCAGCAGCATCCATTGCCAAGGGCCATACCCTTGTCAAGCCAAAACGCGTCTGCCATATGGTTAGCCCGATCAATCCCGACAATGTTCCAGCGGAAAATGAAGGCGGGTGGGCCTTTGGCCCACACGTGGTCTCTCAGGAGGCTGTTAAAAGTTTCGCAACCATTTCCCATTCGACAAAAAGCAGGGGGGGATGTATCCGCTGGTTCTATGGCTCTTAGCTGTTCCACGTTGAGTCAAGTCTAAGGAGGGGGGCAGGTTACAACGAGAGGATGCACTATTGATACCCCGTGAATTTTATTGGTTACCGAGTACCCTGCTACCTGTGAAGCACCGTCATCAGTTTCTCGCGGGAGAACCTCAGTCCATGCTGACGGTGTGCTGGATGTGAGGGCGGGGTATTCGGCCTGGGGAGAAAAGTGATTGGTTTTCTTGAGACATTTGAAGCCATTGAAACGTTGCAACGCACCTTCAGCCGCAACATCAAAACACAATTCGCCGGCTTGGCCACCGAAGATACTGTGGTAAACCAAAGAAGGATGAAGTTGTGAGGGAATGATTGACCGGGATGAAGCTTAGAGGCGGTCTAACTCAGTTATATAGGTAGTGAGGTGCTCTGGCGGTGCGTCTTCCAAGATGCGTCTTTCGACTTTGTCGGCTCTTCAAACAAAGACCTACACCGTCTTCTCACATATCACCTGAGAAACTGGTAAACACCATGGTACTACTCACGGCCATCATTCTTGGCATCGCCGGCCTCTGCCAGGCCGACATACGCTGGAGCGGGGACACCATCTCAGTTCCTGGTCGCATCAAGAACCCCAAGGCGCTCGCGGCAGCCAGCCGTAAGGCCTCCGGCTTGTCAGCGTCTCCCGCGTCAGCAATGCGCGGGAGCCCAATCGGTGAACTCGAGGCCGACCGGATCTTGGGCCGTGACCTCGGCTTGTTCGACAGACAGACCTGTCCCCCGACCCACCCGTGTAAGCTACGCAACGAGTAACGACTCAACTCTCCTGAGCCTGCATGTGTCCATCATGACTCTACCAAAAGCTGACAGCAGAGACTAGTCCCTTGTGCCGGCAGATGCTGCCCCATTGCATCCCCAGTTTGCGTATGTACCTGACCTACCTATGCCTGCCGAGGGTGTTAATAACCTCGCACTTATCTGACTCTCCCACAGTGCATATCCGTCAACGGAGGCTGTTGCGCCTCGAGCAAGCCCGTCTGCCAGCCCCACGGCTGCTGCGCGACAGGCACGACCGAGTGCGCCAACGACTCGACCACCTGCAAAAAACCAGGCGAGACGTGCTGCGGCAACGGCTCCGTCTGCCCCGCCACCAAGCCCGTCTGCTCCGGCGGCCTGTGCTGTCCCAAAGACACGACCCTGTGCCTCAACGACCCGACCGTGTGCAAGGAGCTGGACGAGCAGTGCTGCGGTGGCGGGAGCCTGTGTCCCGTCTGGGCGTCGTGCTGTGGTACGGGCGCTTGCTGCGATTCGACAAACCCCGAGATTAGCCAGTGCTGTAAGGGATCGTCTCCTGACAAGGATACGTGCTGTGGCGAGTATGAAGTCTGCTGCGACGGGTGGTGTAAGTGTGCTCAAAATTAAATTTTGCAGATGCGTGCCCACAGTAACTGACTCCGCCATGCAGGCTGCCCGGAGTCTTCGACGTGCAGTTCCACCCCTGGATACTGCAATGTGCCCGTTCTTGAGTTTGGATACGCGCCCAACAACATCATCTCCGACGTGAGTATTGTCTGCGTGGTTACTTGGGCTTGTGTGGTTCATGAAGCCAAGAGCTAACGCTGTGTGCCTACCCAGCTGGTCGAGAACACTTGTCTCGGTAAGTTTAGAGCATGTTCAGCCTCAGTCATAATTACCTGCTAATCAGACAAACAGGAATACGGCGGCAGATCGCGCTAGGACGTCCGGAAACGACGCCCAATCAGCAAATCTTGACATACTACGGGCCAGGCTCTCCCAACCGCGAGCTATCAGACTGCAGGAGCTCACGTGGATGCTGCACCGGTAGGTAACCAACATACCCTAGACGGCGGCAAGAAATCATGAGATTACTGACCTCGAATGTCTTCCACGTTTATCAGGCCGGACAGTTCCAGCAGGCGAACCGGGGGCGGGCGACAAGGCCACCTGCGACGAGTACCCGTTCAACTCGGCCATCGAGGGCGGAGCAGATGCGCACGTTGCCTGTGTGAATGAACACGCCAACAGCGCCGGGGGTGATCTTATCGGGCAGATGGTTTCCGGCAAGCACCGGGGCTTCAAGTATGCTTTGAGGGTCACGGGCATCGACTGCACGACTGTCCAGGAGTCTGACGTCCACGGCTGCAATCCGTAAGCAAAGCTCTGTGTAGGTCACCAGCAATGATGAATGGAAGTCCAAGTCGAACCTAGGTTGGTCGAATTTGGCAAGCTAGCGACAAACTCATTCCGGATTTGACTTTTGAGAGAGCCGTGGAAGCGTGCCAGGACAAGCCAAGATTTGGGCCAAGGGTAAAGCGAGAAAGCGGTAGTTATGATGTGTCATTTGGGCCAAAGGTAACGAATGAACCCCCAAGAACACCTTACATGTAATAATACTTGGGTGGCTAGACGTCCAGTCCCCAACGGCGCAAGATCTTGAGGCAGAGGAAGTGCCTAAAAAGGATTGAGGTTGTTGCAGCTAAAGCTGCAGCAGCCGAAACTACATAAGAACTGTGAGTGGGCTTGTGCACAGGCCAACCTGCAGGGCGCTAGCCCTGCAGGTGCCAACACAAGAGGCTGAAGCATGGTCATTTTTATCCTAGGGCATGGGAAGGGGATCTTGCCATGCTGGCTATAACAGCCATGATGACAAGCCGATTCCAATTGTGTGAGTGCCAAGGTAAGGTGAGTCCTAACTGAGCCTCCTGTGCTTGTGGTAAGACGGGGGCGGCATTCCCCCGGTTAGGCTGATTCTTGGGACGAGCTGAAGGGTTAGGGATATCTATAGTTTGAGGCAGCCATGTGGTCAGGAGGACCAATCGAAGGAAGCGAGCGAGCGAGCGAGTGAGGATTCATATCTTTGCAGTTATTCTTACCTGTTGGGCAACTTCTTCCGTTTTTGGATTCGGTCTGCGCCCGCCTGAGTCACCACATTGCCTTGATCATGATCATGTCGTCGCTGGTGACTGGTCAAGTTGTACCCCGCGCGACTGGACACTATTAACGTCGAACCAAATCAGCTGTCGGTGAGGGAAACCAGAGGAATCAAAGAGAGGACAAGATTGAGCGTATCGACACGTGCCTACTTCCCAAATTCATTAAATCCGATTTTCAGCCTCCCGCCACATCACACCAGACAACCGACAACATAACGCAACCGCACTTCTGGACTCTCCTTCCACTCCTCGCACCAGACAACAACATAAATATTCTACATAATTATTAACCATAGTTACAACTCCCAAGAATCCCAGCGACACAAACATCTATAATGGCAAGACTCTCGCTATCCTGTGGGCTCGTCGGGCGCCTGCGCAGACGCAAACGGCCAGCCAAGAATGCAGCGTCGCCCGCGGCGCCCGTTCGAGTTCCCCCAACATTCGAAACACTACCAGCCGAACTGCGATGCCTGATCCTCGAATCCATCGAGGAGCTTGAGGACCTGAAGGCACTGATATTTGCATCACCTGTTTACCATGCGCAGTATCTGTACCGCCGCAAATGGTTTCTCCGCCGCATACTCGAGAACACCCTTGGAAACGGCAACGTCCTCGCAGATGCATACGCCGCCCATGCATCTGGCTTGCTGCACAAGAATGCCCCTGGACCTGAATCGTCCGCCGATTCTGAAACCTTCCGCCTCTTCATGGCGCAGTATGTCGCCCATCGTTCGGTCCCCCCCCGGCAGCTGTGGGCCCAAACCACCACCACAGAAGGGGATCTCGCCGAGATGGCAGCTCTCTATCTCGGCGTAGCGCGCCCGCTCCTACAGCCGTGCGCGACCATGTTCTTATCCCACCTCCGCTCATCCTTCCCCGTCGGCCCACTTTCTCGGCCGGAGCGCACGCGTCTCCTCCGCGCACTGTACCGCTACCAGACGTACTGCAACCTGTTCGGCATGGGCCCCACGGGGGAGATCAAGACATTCACCCTTCCTAAAGAAGACCGGCTGATGGAGTTTTTTTGCCGGTTCCGGCCGTGGGAGATCCAGGAAATCGAATGCATATATATTCTTTTTCGGAACAAATATGAGGCCTTGTTCGATGTCATCAAGGATGACGTCGCCAAAGATCATCCGCGATTCCAGGGATCGGATAGGCCGTGGGCGCCTGTGGGGTCCTTCGACCTTGCTTCAATTTGTGAGTTAGATTTTCTTTGTCCTTGTGAGTTCCATACTCGCGCATCCCGTCCTTCTTCTCCCCTCCAACCCGCCTCTCGCCTTTCTTGATATCGCCAACATCCCGGGACCCCTCGCTCTCTCCTCCCTATTCCCAACATACTAACATTCTACACAGACCAACGCCAGCTCCTGCGCGAGGGCACCGCATCCCGCGGCCTGCAGCCCTTCCTCCAAGTCCTGCAAGCCACCGAGCACGAAGCGCTCGTCGCAGCCATGCAGCAGCACCTGAGCTCGCACACCGACTTCATGGAAGACGCCATGTCCTGGTTGACGCAGAGCCGGCGGCGAGAGCTCTACCCGCTGCCCGAGGACGAAGCGCAGCGGCGGCGCGACCCCATGCCCTTCCTAGGCGACCGCGAGGGCGAGGGCGCCGACGCCCCGCCGCTCGCCTGGGTCATCATGTGGCGCGGCCAGTACAAGAACGAGTTTGGCCGGTCCGTCAAGGACCGGTTCAAGGAGTGGGGGTTTGTGTTTTGGGACTGTAAGCGGTTGAAGGAGAGTGGTAAGAGGAAGACGCTGGTGCGCGATCTTCCGGATTCGGGTATGCGCAGGCCGAGGCGCCAGACAGGGGCCGTGGCTTAAGGATGGAGTTGCTG